AGAAGAACCCTTTCTGTTACCTTTTTTGTTTAACATCACGTAGATTTTGTCTGGAAGCATACAGAAACTTCTCCTGTGGTGCACAGCTGCGTAACTTGAACTGGACATAATAATAAAATTATATCATCACAATATATTTAACAATGAAAACTAATAAAATCAAATACGCACTGAGCATTTACCTTGTGCTAGACCAATGCAAAGCACCGTCAGTGTAACATTACTTGATGTATTAGTTTGTTTAATTAATGACCTATCAGGTGGAAAATAAGGATTAATATGGAACGTAATTCTCGGTATGCTGAGCTATGTGACACAGTACTAGGGTCCTAGCAGCAGGTAACTAAGAATTAGCACCATAAATGGCTCTATTTAACACATATTAACAAAGGGTGATAAAAGGTGACTGGAACTGCCAACAGTGACTTTTTAGTTGGACTGGGTGAGTAACGGTTACCTTTTGAATAAAAGCTAGACATAAAAAAAAAAAAGAAAAAAAAAAACTGCTGGGTTTGCTAAGTGATTTGGGTTTTATAGATAAAATCTTAAAGCGATTGTGGTCAGGAAAAGTTCTTGCAGGAAAATAAACAGCCCACATTCTTAATCTCCAAATTGATTCTTACTGAAAAAAAATGGTGAACAGTATTTTTAATAACTTATTAGGGACACAATTATTCCATTACAGTAGAACTAATTTGGGGTTTTTCAGATGCTCTCTATTGTAAAGTTCTGTCTTCCTCCTGCTCTCTCTGGTGGACTCTGAGTTCCACACTGGCAAGGTCCTACCTGTCTCCTCAGAGCTATGTACTCAGAACTCGGAGGGCATGTCACACAGGAGCTCTCTGAATGAATGACGCGGCAATAAAATAGGAGGAAAAATCCCATTAAATCTAAAGTGTTTCAATGGGTTCCTGCCAAAACTATAAACTGAAAGACTGAAGGGCGAGTTAATATTTAAGTATCCTTAAAATAATTCCATTAGCTATCCTGGCGGGACACATGGATGTGACTGGTGTTTATCACGTGCCACCTCAAATGCTCTTAGCTTTCTTTCTCTTTACAATGATTTTGTGTGGGGGCGCCCGGGTGGCTCAGTCGGTTGAGCAACTGACTTCGGCTCAGGTCATGATCTCACGGTTCGTGGATTCGAGCCCCGCGTTGGGCTCTGTGCTGACAGCCCAGGGCCTGGAGCCTGCTTCGGATTCTGTGTCTCCCTCTATCTCTGTTCCTCCCCTGCTCCTTCTCTGTCTCTGTCTCTCAAAAATAAATACACGTTAAAACAAAACAAAACAACTTTATAATGATTTTGTGTGCCCCTCTATCAGGTGAGTAATAACACCCTTGAAATTGTACTTTAGAAAGCTTCCATCTCCTGTAACCAAGATGCACCCAAATGAACACTCCCGTCAAATAAAATTAACTAAATCCTCCCCAAAGTTCTTCAGAGCCTGTTGAGATCAACAATGCTGAAATCAACAATGTCATGCAATGAAAAGGATACAGTATACTGCCTTGCAAAAGACTGAAGCTGCCAGGATTACCTAAGATGCTCAGGTCTCTAAGGAGAAACAAAGTTCCACTGAGTAACTTCCGTGCCTTCAAAGATGGTAAGCATCTCTTATAGCCAAGGCACTATCACTTCCTACGCATGAAGCTAACAAACTCACCACAAATCAAAATACAAACTTTCTAAGAAGCTCCATCTAGCAGGTAGTATTGGGTGGGGGGGGGAGGGGGGGGAGGGGGACTAATATAATGGAAGCCACTCTCTGAAAAACTAGCTCTTAAAATTCCTTCACAGTATGTGAAAACTTGGGGTTTTGTTTGCACCAGAGTTGGCCAAACTGCCAAGTCCAAGGGCAGAGTCTCCAAGACTGTCCCCACCCTGGCATCATCTGCAAGTTCAAGGGGTTCCCAAAACTGCTCCAGCCTTAATAATTCACTAAAAGTATTCACAGAACTCACAGAAAGCTATTAAACTCACAGTTATGGCTTATCATGGGAAATGACACAGAGAGTTAGCCAAAGGAAGAGATACATAGGATAGACTCTGGGAGAGTTCTAAATGCAAAGTTTCCACTCTCCTCAAGATGCTCTACTCCCCCTGGCATCAACCTGTGACAATATGCACAGAGAATCAACCAGAGAAGCTCACCCAAATTTCAGTGTCCAGAGTTTCACTGGGGCCTCATCTCATAGGTTTGCTTGACTGATCGCTCATGTGGCTGAATTCAGTCTCCAGCACCACTTCCCCAGAGATTGGTTTGACAACACATGGCCCAAAGGGCCCATCGTGACTAATGAAACACTTCCATCACTTGGGAAATTCCAAAGGATTCCAAATTCCCTCTCCCAGAAGATGAGTATATAGGCCAGACCTCTCTGTGGGAAAAGCCAAATTCTTTACCACGCCAAATGAGAGTAGAATTTAATAAAGAATAATATCTTATAAAGGTAACAGAGAATGAAGCTGCTGAGGCTCTGATTAAAACTAAGTCGAGGGGCTCCCAGGTGGCTCAGTCGGTTGAGTGACAACTCTTAATTTGGCGCAGGTCGTGATCTCATGGTTTCATGGGTTCAAGCCCCGTGTCAGGCTCTGCATGCTGAGTGTGTGTGGAGCTTGCTTGGGATCCTCTCTCTCCTTCTCTCTCTGTCCCTCCTCCACTTGTACTCTTTCTGTCTCTCTCAAAATAAATAAATAAACTTAAAAAAAACAAAAACAAAAACACTAAGCCTGACCTACAGCTCCATGTTGTCTTGGAGAAAGTAAGTCAGCAAGACATTTATTTTTGTGTTCCCTGCGGCCTCTCATTTGCCAGCAGGCTAGTCCAGGCTGAATGACATGGCAGCTGCACAGGGCTTTTAGGAGAGTGATTCTGTTCATCTAAAACCAGATTTACCTCTCTCTATAAAAATCGAGCCTCCACCAGTTTTCCAATCTGCTAACCCTCTATTTCTGGTTTTCCCTAGTGCCTAAATTCAGGTGTCACGGGCTGAAGGGACCCCTCCCCAACCAAATTCGTATGTTGAAGATCTAATGACCGGTATCAGAAAGTGTATTTGGACAAAGGGTTTTCAAAGAGGTAATTAAATTAAACTGAGATCATTACGGTGAGCCCTAATGCAATGTGATTTATAAGAAAAGGAGACTGGGACACGGATGTGGAGAGGGAAGACAGGCCAACCGTGCGGGCACCCCGATCTCACACTTGCAGCCTCCAGACTGTGAGGAAATCAACTTCTGTGGAACCACTCAGTCTGTGGTTCTCTGTTACGGCAGCCCTAGCAAACGAATACACCAGTCACTCACTAGTCCAGGTCTAATCTTTCAGTGACTTGCTTGCACCCCCTGTCTTTTCTCTTTCACTTACATAGTCCTCCCGTTTCCTACTACTGCTTCTTGTTCCTCACCCCCTGGTCAAGCCTCGCATCCACTGTCTGGTTAGTATTACCAAAGGAGCACGGAAATCAAGCGCTTACCTGGTCAAAGACCTTCCAAAGACTTCTTGCTACATGAAGACCAACTTCTTAGCCCAGCAGTTATCAAAGGACCGTACTGACTTTTCCAACTTCATCTTGCACGAGAGTCCCTCTGAGTCAAACCACTGATCTTAAGGGATTTGTCACCCAACTCAAGAACATGAATTTCCTTCTGAATCCTTTCCTTTCCACCTGTCCAATATTCCCCTTCAAGCCTCAACTGACTAATTGTTTTCCTTATGATAACGTCATAGATCATTCTAGTCAGAATTGATCTCCTTTGATTTATCATAAATTCTACTTATTTGAATAGCTACCCTCTGACAGGAGAGGAATACCCAGGGTGCCGAGTCAAAGACTCTCATGGCATAGAGACAGAAAGGGTAACAAATGTTACGTTATCGTTAGGGGAAAAGATAAACCATAACTTGAAGAATACATATGTAGAGTACCTTTTAAAGTCAAATCCAGATCCATTTTTATATCTAAATACTTAAGAAAGCACATTAACCTTTAAGAGTGAGATTTGTGGCCCATTCTTTGAAGGTCTCTCCCTGCTGACCTAAAAAGATAATTCACTAACAAAGACAAAGAGGTTTGTCTAAATATACCTCAAACTACCTTTAAAAAAAAAAAAAAGATTTTTTTTTTATTACATTAAAGAACACAGTAATATCCATTTACCATACAAACTGTACCACAGCAGAAAGTAATAAATAATGTTACACCTTAGGGTTTAATCATTTTATCAAAAGCTTATAAACATGCACCAGGAAGAAGGTCAGAGCCCAATACGATCTTTCAACTAAACCTGTCACAATACCTTTTTTCGCTTCACTAATTTGCACATGTGCTACTAACAGGGGTTACACAATAAAACTATTTATACTCTCAGGAAAATTCTGAATGATGTCTTCTTACCTAATGTGAGAACTGGCAGCAAAGGGAAAGTACAGGGCTACGGGTCACGGACACTTTGATCCATCAATTAGAACACTCATTTAAACATTCCAAGGATTAATAGAGGCAGCAATTTAACATCACCTTCATAATCAAGGGCAAGGTAAAGTCTGTGATTTAAATGCTTTCAAGGTACATGGGAAGAAATGAAAACAGCTTGAACATGAGAAAAGTGGTTACTCAAATTTGGACATGCCTGTCATTTTATTATATAAAACTGAATGGTCCCTATGATTCTATTAACAGAGATAGCAATTTCACATCACCTTCATAATCAAGGGCATCCCATCTTATATAATATTATTCCAAATGAAAACTCTATTAGCATTGCTTTCAACTTCCCCTTACTTCATGAAAATGAGTTGCAACAAGCTTTCATCAAATGCCCTTTCCTTGTATTTGGAGAACATGGATGCACCTCACTACCCAAATACCCAAATACACTTCCAAGTATTCCAGAGGGCCCACAACAAGCCATTCACTATTCAACAAGCAAGAACATTGTACTTTGATCTTGTCAAGGACAGGAAATACTGTAACATTATGTCTTAAAAACTTACTTGAACTTTGCTTCCACCTCTTCAGCTGCTTTCTGATATTGTTCGGTGGTGACTTTGTAGAATTCTGAGCTCTGTGGACAGAGATTGACAGTAGAGTTTTCACTACTCAAGAGGGCAAAATGTGAGTAAGACTTACAGTTACAAAATGATACATAAAATCTTTTTTTCAGCCATTCAAGCAGTAGGACAAAGATTTCTTGCATAAGTGACATAGATACTTATAAAAGTGCACATAAAGAAAGATATCCATTTAAATAATAGCACATCTGCTGGTATACAAGTTGTAATTAGAGTAAACCTTCATTGTTATAATTCATCATTATTTGATCCTTGTGAGAAAATTCTTCACATATTTGCCTACTATTCCAATGTTCTACCTGGGATATTAAAGGTTCACTTCTTTTTATACAGTATTTTTGTCCTCAAGATGGATTCTTTACAGAGTAGAATGTGTTCTATTACCTTCACATGACCACAAGAGCATCAATATTTATAACAAATTAATTAGTAAGAACAGGGTATGGGTTTAGGTAATTTTTTTACCCCCTAAAAAAAAAATGTTTCCAGTATTACATAAATGAACACATAAGCAACATAAATCAAGCTGCAATAGGAAAGGAATGCCTTTCCTGAGGCAGAAAAATTTTAAACTATCCATTCTGGCTGGCTACGTTGAAACCTATCTTACTTCAGGGGGTGGCCTAAATGACCCCAAGAGCCTTCAGACTCAATGAAATACCCTGCAAAACCTGTCCCAGGACAAAAGAATACTACATGATACAGTGGTCTATTGTGCACCTTCAATCCCTAATCACTCAGGTTACACATACATGACTTGGGGTAGTTTATTTTTTAATAAATCATTGTTGGTTGGTGAGAAAATGAAAATGAAATCCTCTTCACACCAGTGACCCCTCTGCATTTAACAATCTGGGTTGCCCAATGACAGTCACATCCAGGTTTGTTGGATGTAGATAAAATCAATAGATATGTGATTAGACAGCAGACTCGGGGTGGCTGGAGCAATGGACAGGTCACCATTTGAGATGATGAATGGCTCTCTATCAACCCAGAGTCCCCTACGATGCTAACATTTACTATAATCTTATTTGGGCTGCGATTTATCTTTCTTGCACCTGATCAATAAAGATGAACAGAACAGTTGTAAGGATCGATTGTAATTTTTTATCGTTTTCAAGCACGAAGGTGCATTTCTGACATGAAGACAATATTCATGCAGTGCTTCTGCATGTTTTAAAATCACACTGCGAATGACCAACTTCATCGGTCTATATGCCAAGAGGTTTTAATTCATCTGTAGGTCGCAAGCTACCAAAAGGCCTTTTGTCTTCTCAGATATTATAACCTTATGTCGTATCACAGCTCCCTTTCAGTTTTATTTTATAAGATTTTTCTTCCCTTTAAAATACACACCGGTCACTACACGCTCTTTTGCAATGTTTGGCCTAAGCTTTTTTTGTGTGAACCCTTCTAACAAAGAGGGCAGTAAAAAGGCAGTTACTAACCTGCCACTAACACTGATGAGAAACGCCCCATACTACTATAATAAACTGTCAAGGGGGCGTTATGATACTAAAGTTTCAAAATGCTGGCAAAGCTAAACATCTTGATTAATACTTTCAATTAATTTAAACATTGAAACAGTAATGTCCAGACAGAGCCAGGACGAGGCTGACAGATTTGGTTTCTGGTTCTGCTCTGTGACCTTGAGCAAGTCCTTCAAAGTCCCCTTGGCTTTCTTTTGTAACCTGTAAAATACGGATGAAGTAGCCTTGCTTATCTCTGCCAAAGCAGTTACAGAAATCAAATGAGATTGGCACAGGAGCTGTGCCACACCTATTTTTGCAGAGTAAAGTCAACATACAAATAAAATAATTTTGGAGGAAAAAGCTAATTTGGACAAAACTAATTCTGGGTACAAATTCAAAATGATCAAAGGCAAATATTAAGCTTTCTAACAAGAATGATGCACAAAAGTGACTTCTGCCATAACATAAGTTAGCAAGCTCCCCTCTGCTTTATAATGCCAAATACAGGTAAAATTACTACTGATTTTGTCAAAGTTTCCCTAAGACGTTAAACAGACAAAAGACATGTACCTGTGCTGTCTGCAATCTTAGCTCTTAACTTCCCAAGTTAAAGTTTTAGGCTTTATTTATGTCCTGTATTTCCACCTCAGTGGCCAGATTCCCACACTGTATAAATCTTTATAATGAGGAAAAGTCCCCAGGAGGCAATGCCATATAACAACTAAGGGAATAAACACAAATATGCCCAAGATCTGTATGCAGATAGCGTTTAATTCATGTAAGTATATACTTATTCATTCAACCAAATTAGATACTTATTATCCAAATAATGTCCAACTTGGGGAAACAGATCTTGATGATCTGAAAACTTCTTGAGAAGCTTTCCATCCGATATAAGAGAAAAGAAAAAGAGTCAAATGAAAGGTCATAAATATTGAGTTAAAGTTGTGGACAGTGTTACTAGAGTACAGAAAGAGTAGAGTTTCTCTTTTGGTGGCAGAAAATATTTTTAAAAATAAACAACCATTAAAAAACAAAAACAAAAAGCTTGCCAATAAGCTTGCCAGCAGGAGAATGAATAAATACCGGGTATTCACACAGTGGAAATCTACACAGTGATGAAAAAGAATGAATTACACATACATGTGGAGCGAACACAAGCAAGTTCTAGATATAATATTGTAGAGTGTAATTTATGTCAAGTTTGGAAAAAATGCAAAATAATCAAATAGGATTAGTAAATAGCAAATTCCACGGATTATCCCCAAGTAGCAGCAGTTTGGTGGTGGTAGCCGGGGGGTTAGGGGCAGAACACCATCAAGAAAAGGAAACACAGTGGGACCTCACTGACTTGTTATGTTTCTTAAAATGAGGTGTACATAGCTAATTGTTATGCTGGTTATAAACGCCTGTAACATATACAAAAATTGTGTTACTCTCCCCCTCCTCAAAGGAACTAATTAACAACAAATAATTTAATAATATAGCCAAAACATAAAAATAGGGGTAGAGGGATACATGCTGAACAGGTTGGCTAAGTCAAGATTTTGTATATTTTCTTGAATGCTAACCTACTGCCAAATGTCCACAAATTACTAAATAAAAGCAATTTCTGTTGTGAAATAAGTATGGACTTATAGAAAAGGGGCAAAAATGGTGGAAAATTTGTATATACTGTCACCCCCCTTCCTTTCACGTCAATGTCTTAGATAATCCCAGCACAATCATCAAAACGAGTAAGTTAACAATGCAACATTACTAGTAACTACTATTAACTAAATTGCAGACTTTATTTTGCTACACTTTCTCTATGAATGTTCTTTTTCTATGTCAGGACCCAATTCCAAAGGTCATTTTGCATTTAATTGTCACGGCTTCTCAGTATCCTCTTGTCTCTTAAGACCCCTTGACACTCCTGAGGAATACACCAGTTGGATATTTTGTAGAATGGCTGGCAATATGGACTTGTCCGATGTTTTCTCATTAGACTGACGTTATGCATCACTGGGACAAATATCATAGTGGCAATCGGCCCTTCTCCAAACTGGACCCCAAACTACTCCCAAAATTCTAGCTTCACAATTGCCTACCGATCCTGCAATGCTTCTACTCTGAACAGGTACTCACAGGTGGTAGAAATACCCTAATTGGAGTCCCTGGGTGGCTCAGTCCTTTAAGCGTCCCACTTCGGCTCAGGTCGTAATTTCATGGTTTGTGAGTTTGAACCCCATGTCGGGCTCTGTACTGACAGCCTGGAGCTGCTTCAGATTCTGTGTCTCCCTCTCTCTGCCCCTCCCCAGCTTGCGCGCGCGCGCGCGCGCTCTCTCTCTCTCTCTCAAAAATAAAATTAAAAAAATTTTTTTTAAAAAGGACCCTAATTTTCAGAAAGGCTGTTTGTATTATCTATGTTGTCTTGAGATGGTAGTAGGTGTGTATATGCCTCTTTTCTTATCAATTATAAATTACCGTTACTTTAATGTTATTATGGTAGCTAAGTTTGTTGTTATTTGGTCAACCCTACAGCTTGTAGTAAGTACACACATCAATTGTGTTTTTGTCTGATCCTTTAAAAAATTTTGTTTTAATGTTTACTTAGTTTTGAGGGAGAGAGAGACAGAGACTGAGCAGGGGAGGGGCAGAGAGGGGGAGATACAGAATCTGAACCAGGCTCTAGGATCCTAGCTGTCAGCACAAAGCTCGATGCGGGGCTTGAACTCACGAACTGTGAGATCATGACCTGAGCCAAAGTCAGATGCTTAACTGACTGAGCCACCCGGGCACCCCTGATCCTTTTTTTTTTTTTTTAAATATTTTTTTTCCACATTTTTATTTATTTTTGGTACAGAGAGAGACAGAGCATGAACGGGGGAGGGGCAGAGAGAGAGGGAGACACAGAATCGGAAACAGGCTCCAGGCTCTGAGCCATCAGCCCAGAGCCCGACGCGGGGCTCGAACTCACGGACCGCGAGATCGTGACCTGGCTGAAGTCGGACGCTTAACCGACTACGCCACCCAGGCGCCCCTCCTGATCCTTTTTTAATAGCCACATTTTGAGAACAATATGGTCTGTGCTTCAAATAAGTAATATCCACATTCCAATTTTCAAAGAAGGTAGATATTATGTTATATATGTATGTATATAAAATGGCCATATATACCTGTCTAAATATACCTACCTACCTATCTATATGTGTCTATATCTCTCCCCTCCAAACTTTGTTAAAATACTTTCTTTAAAAAAAAATTGCTTTTTAATGTTTATTTATTTTTGAGAGAGAGAGAGTCAAGAGTGCATGCAGGAGAGGCAGAGAGAGAGGGAGACACAGAATCCGAAGTAGGCTCCAGGCTCTCAGCTGTGAGCGCAGAGCCCGATGTGGGACTCGAACCCACAAACCGTGAGATCATGACCTGAGCTCAAGTCGGATGCTTAACCAACTAAGCCACCCAGGTGCCCCCACTAAGATGCTTTTTAAGTCCTCACACCATATGGGGTAGGGGAGAATAATCTGGTCAGATGACCC